CAGAGGACCCTGCACACAGACCTTATTAACATTCTGAAAATGAGGTCTGGTGAACATCCATTATGATGATCATTGGGTTTAGGCTGTCAGCAGTTCAGCCACCAAAGCAGCTGAACCTGACGAAAGCAATTTATCACACAAACACAAACTAACCTTATGGCTGCATACGGTGAAAGAACATAAACAAGCAGCAACTGGTCAAACTCAACACAGGCCAATGTAAATGGCCTGTACAGCGCCTTTCTAGTCTTCCAACCACTCAAAGCTTTTTACACTCCATGTCACATTCACCCATTCGCAAACGCTCATCACAAAAATAAACTAATCATTCACATTCATACACCAATGCACAGCATCAATGGAATTGAACCGCCAACCTTTTTATAAGTGGCGACCTGCTCTACCTCCTGAGCCACAGCTCTCCCAATGCAGGAGGAAGCTGGGAGGACTGGAGTGATTCAGAAAACAACCCTTTTTATTCCATCGTCCACCCTTCCAAACAGCACCAAAAAGACAGAAAAGAGCAGTAAGGCGAACTCTGCCTTTAGCAAGTAGCAGCGGTGGTCAGTTCCACACAGCTTGCACACACATACAAACTCACAGTTAGACCATCAAACACACAGCCTCATACGTCATTTACATAACAACTATTGTGTTTTACCTGCATTTCAAGATCCACAGATGAAGGTTCAGGATGGAGACGAACAGGAAACAGCATTCATAAAAAACAGAGAAAAAGACAAATAATTAGAAACCATACAATTAAAGTTAAATCTGTAACTCTGCTTGTTATTTTAGAAACAAAATAAACGTTTAAAAGACAATAACTAATAATAAGTCTCCAATCTAGTCAGATGAACTGATCCAGACCTGCTGGATCCACAAAGCAGAACATGTTGAATTTGATATAGACAGTCTGTGAATGATGTTCTCAAACAGCTGCACCAACAAAGACAAAACAACATCATGAATGGAAATTCAGCAAAGTTCATTCCTCACATCAGGTCACTGTGTGATGTGTTTCACTATTTTAAGGAGGAAAGTGAAGCTGGTGGAATATCTCAGAAAATGCCAACGCTGATACGGAAACATGTTTTTCATCCCCAGTGCGAGAATTTTGTATTTTTGATTACTAAAAGTTTTTATTGCCTTGAAATGTCAGAAATGCTGAGAAACTGGCTTTCTGAGTGCAGAACTTCTTAATATCTCATCTAGTCGAGGGATTCACCTGAACCTTCTGGCTGATAATATGACCTTTGGGCTTGGTTCAGTAAATCTGAAGAGCTATAGCCAAGGAAGTCCATATAATACACTTTAAATAAAGATAAAGATAAAGAAAGAAAGAAAGAAAATCAGAACAGACTTTAAAGCCACAGAGCAGATCTTTCTGTTTTGTTCGGCTCATTGTGTGAAAGTTTCCTTAGAAATATTTTTTCTTATTTCAGATCTCACGGCCAAGTACACTCAGGGGGAAATATTTACTTTAAATCTTCATTTAAATATTCTGTTTAGTTTACATGATACACAAAGATACGTATGCATGCCAACAATGCCAGAGAGAGTATATTCTGCCACAATTCATCTAAATGAAACACTTTTGTTCATGACAATCACAACAGTCACTTAGTTTTTAAAGGTACATCACATTCATGCTTGGTACAGACTTAAGAGTGTCTACAAATAGTGATATTTGGAAGGAGAGTGAAAGAGCATTAAAGAATATTGTGGAGAAAAAACAATTTGCTCTCTGTTTTCTCACTACATTATAGTTTCTCATAGACCACTGAGCCACAGTAACGTCGTAATCAAACATCACAATAATGCTCAGTATTTAGAAAAGATCAGGGTGGACATAAAACTGCTCTCCACTTCTGTCGTGCATCTTTTTCTTGTCTTTCTTATCTAATAAACTGCCATTTCAGACACTCTTGCAGCTGTATAATAATCCTGAAATCCAGTTTGACATTGTGTCTATATGATATGATAGAGTGAGGACTTATATAAGGGTCTATTGTTTAAAAATAAAATATTTGGTTGACCAGTAATGTGATTTGAAATATCAGCTGTATTCCTGCTATAACACAACTTACATCTCAGGATCTGAGACTGGCTTCCATCTATAGTACAGGGTCTGTGGAGATATTTCCAACTCTGTTCATAGTGGAATTAAGCTTAATACATGTGAGCAATACAATTCAACTACCACTGAACCTTATTCAAATTATTTAATTTAAAGATGGATTTCTCAACCTAACATGATCCTGACTAACCTTCTTAACTCTGCTTGCTGTCTGTCTGAGGAGACACAGATC